CAGTAACACCACGTTGGCATTATAAGATTTTAAAGATTGACGGAAATGATAGGCCTGCGCCTACATTGTCGGAAATTCCGGGAGATTAAATCCACCAGGGTATTACTCGCTCTGTGTGTCTTGGAAGAAAAACTTGGCTTTGTGACCCATGATGTCTGCACGGTCTGATTTTACTTAGAACTTGCAATGATCTCTACAAATACCTGCAAAAAAAAAAAAAAGACCCTTTATTTTATTTTTTGCTGGATTTTGCTGTGGACTACAATCGCTCTTTTTACTCGTGTGGACATCAGCCGTCTCGTGTTGATGAACTTTGGTCAGATTAATTCATATTCATCTGCAGAAGTATATAGTCTAGTAGATTTTTTATTATAGACTGTAGATGTAATGACATTTTAGTATTTTTATTTTTATTTTAACACAAATTAATAATAATAATAATATGTCGTTCTTATATAGCGCTCAATGCCTTAACAAGGCCTCTAAGCGCTTTACATTATTACCCCCGGTCATTGGATCAAACACATATGGATCACAGTGAACACTAAACGAAATTATTAAATTAAATTATATCTCCATAATATTGCGGCTAGTAATCAGCGCAGTGTTGGAACCTACCATGTACCCACTTGTACTCCTGGGTGGAGAGAGGCAACCGTAGATAAAGTGCCTTGCCCAAGGACACAAGCGACTTGCACAGCGAGAGTTTCGAACCCCCGACCTCAAGGTTGGGAGTCCAACCTTGAGGTCCAACCTTGAGGTCGGGAGTCCAAGCCACAACGATGCGCCAACCACTTCCACATTAACAAACGAAGACACGATCAGCGTCTTGAGACGGAAGACCAAATACCCAACTAAAATATAGGCCTACAAGTAACGACTGGGATTTTATCTAGATCGTATCAACGGATGTTTAAAATAAGCCTGAAAGTTGTTCTAAAAATGTCGGTGTACAGAATAATATGAAAATTAGACTTACAATGTATGTGAAAACAAAACAGGGTTTTTTCTCATTGTTATAATGTGATATTCAAATTAAAGTAAAAAGAGAATAATTAACAAAGTAATAAAGTAAAAAATACATGACAAAAAAAAAATCATTAAATTGTGGTGGGTGTGGTGTAGCGTAAAAAGAGAATGTGTCCACTTTTATTTTTTCAATTCATTTAAAAATTTACTTTGCATGGCTAGATTTAACCAACCGGGTTGTAATTTCCAAATAATGAATAGAATTCTTTCGTTTTTTGTATTTAGAATACAAATGAATCCGTCTTTGACATCATGTGCACTCTTAATTGGTTTGATCAGTCTATTAACTTGCCTACCAGAAAGCTTGTCTACGACTACAACACCTGAAAAAAACGTCCATGAAACTTGTAATATGTGCTGCCACGGGCCGCCTGGGCAACCTGGGATTCCTGGAGTTCCAGGAACATCTGGAGGGTTGGGTCCAGCTGGACCATCTGGTAGTAAGGGTGACAGGGGTGAGTTTGTCCGAGGTGGAAAAGGAGACAGAGGCGGAAAAGGAGAGCCAGGAAATGAAGGTTCAAAAGGCAATAAAGGAAGCGAAGGATCTCCAGGTAAACAAGGCCCACTTGGAAAAATAGGACCACAAGGACCACAAGGGAACAATGGATCAAAAGGAGAAAAGGGCGAATCACCATAAGTCTGTAAATCTGCGTTTACTGCAGTACGCACCACTCACGTACCCACTTCAGAATCGATCATTCTGTTCACGTCAATGGAGATTAATGTCGGAGAAGACTTCGATAAGAATACCGGAAAGTTTACATGTAGAATTTCAGGTTTCTATTGTTTCATGTTTAGTTTTTTGTCGATAAATGGTAATTCTCCGTATGTTACAATGAAGTTAAATGGGCAAGATATCACAAGCGTTCATCGTAGTGTCACTAGTGGTTATGATCAGTTAAGTTCTGGAGCAACAGTTCAACTGAATGTCAGCGATGAAGTCTGGCTGACGAACGAAGGTGGACAAGTCTATGGTAAGTCCGGTCACCCTCTTACCTTTACTGGGTTTATGGTATACGATATGAACTAACAAAGGATGTACTTTGCATTTTTGATGATTGTAGATGTGCAAGTAGTTCTGTAGATATTTCCGGAGAGAGTCTTGATTGAATACAAATAATAATAATAATAATAATAATAATAATAATAATAATAATAATAATAATAATAATAATAATAATAATAATATGATAGGCCTATTTATAATAATAA